AGAGGGGACTCCAGCTTGCTCGACCCCTGTCCCTGGTAGCCTGGTCTGGACGGGGTAGCCCCCGCCACCTCCCCAACCAGGCTCTCTCAGGCAGCTGCTGCGCTACACAGAGCAGAGACCCTGAGCGGCCGACATGAGAAGTGGCTGGTCCCGTCCCTCCACTCCCTGTCTGGGCCCGGATGCCAGGGACGCGGGCGATCATGCCGGGGGTCAGCCACAGTGGGAGAAGGACAGAGCCCCTCTTCCTCTGCCCCCCTCCCGGCCCGACATGCCAAGCAGAAATCTGGGGGGGGGGTCACTTCACCCCGCACACACCGCCGATGCATAGCCTCTGGCGAGTGGGTTCTTGAGAGTTTGCTTGCTGGTTTGTTGTGTTCAGTTTGCAGAGGCTGGTATGGGTAGTGCACTGAGAGATACAGAGCCTGTGATCACATCAGATCAGGGGTGGGGCTTCCCTGGTTAGGGGGCCTATAAAGGCAGCCGGCCAGTGGCAAAGAAGCCAGCAAACAACTGGAAACAGGGGAGTTAGCGTGCGGGATTGTAAGGAGAGTTTGGGGGAGGGGCGGTGGCATTCTGTTTTTGTGTTGTGTGGGGTTTTCTTTCTCCTTAGTAGGCGCTTAGGCGGGAAGGGTGTGACAGACACAGAGGCAGCAGTGGTAGTGACCCAAGCAATGGAAAAGACAATGAAGGTGACCAGATGTGGAAGCTGCGGGATGATCCTGGTGCAGGTACTGAGCGTCTTTGAGGAAGAGCAACCTGAGATGCAGAAAAACAACCTATTGGGTCCTTCCAAAGAAGTGACAGTTTGGGAGGGACTGCTCCTGTTGGGTTGGAAGGGACAGACACGTTTTGATACGTGGCACAGCAGGGCAGGGATAGGAGAATTCGAACAGCTGTTGAAGTTGGTCTCCCAGCTGAGCCTGGATTTATCTCCTCGCTGGCCCAAACCTATTTTGCGACATTCCTTGCTTACCCCATACAATTGGACGTTTAAATGTTAGATAGTTCTGACAACATCATAACATCTGATCCAAAGGTACAAAAATTAGAAATTCAAATCAAGCAAATAATTATTTATTGGGTGATTGTGAAACAATAACTCCATGATCCAAGGACTTTATTCAGTGACAGACCTGGAAACATACAAATTACAGAGCCAGCCACACTGAGTGGCATAAGGCAGCTCTCTCTGCTACAGCCAGAAATATCACACCAAGACAAAGCGTCCCTGCAATGCACATCCCATGCGGCCCCCTCCAGTGCACAGGGCTCCTCATCGGCAGGTGGCTGGAAAACATGCTCCATAGCTTGGAAATTAAAATGCTTTCTGAGGTGCTGGGACCTGCATGTCACAGCCCAGCCTGTCCATGGGCCTGCTTACAAATCCACTTAGAAGGCAGAGTGCAGTTGGCATCATTCCACCGCTTCAGCTGCAATGTGCGGATCTCAACACAGTCTTCTCTGCCTCCTATCCCCTGATCCCAGTTGTCTGGCTGATTCTCTTCCCAGAACCTATGGATCAGAGTGTTAATGTCTCAGGGCAGAACCACAGCCAATTCCTGAGCTCAGTTCTGCTCTGTGGACTCTGTTGTTGGCAGGGGACCAAGACACCCAGCAATGACGTGGTGAATCGATCCACCCCCAGCCACCCCTCAGAGTTCTCTACAGCTCTTGTGGCCATGGTAACGAAGGGCTTCTGACGGCTGTGGGTAGCAACTGCCGTGCGCCTGACAGGCCAGCAAAGAGCCCAGGTCAGTCTGTGGCTCCAAATGCTGACCGCATCAACTCCGATCTCAGTGCCCAGAACCAAAGCACGTGACACAGCACGTCCCAGGCACCCCCGAGATGGGAACGCAGGAACGGGAAGAGAGGGCAGCGGGGGTCAGTCATTAACTTCTCATGGCCCTGCTTATGGGCCTCGTCCACAGCCCACTGAGGTCACTGCACCGACTGCAGCTGGCTCCGGCCATGCCCCCAGCCCCACAGCCTCCCCTTCCCCAGTCTGACAGAGGGGAGAGCGCAGTGCAATCCCAAGGAGAGTGTGAACCTGCCGCTCACTCCAGACTCACCTGGCTGTACTGAGTTGACTTGGGGCCAGATGCTCAGCTGGTGTAAATCCCTGTGTTTCATTCAAGTCAATGCCGAGTTACCCCAGGGGAGGCTCTGGCCCTGGGTCTCAGTGGCACTGAACACACGCTCCGTGTTTAGGCTCCTGCTCTGAGCAAAGGGGCATTAGCAGAAATTCCTGAGAGGATTCATTGCTATTGTGGCAGCGCCCGGGGGCCTCCCTCAGGATCGGGCCTGCTGTGCCGGGTGCTGCATAGACACCAGGGGGCTGTACAGACGCTGCCCGAAGGAGCTTGTGACCAAACGTGTAATAAATAATCACTTCTCTCAAGCTTTACTCACCCCCTGCTTGCGTCTGCTCTGTATTCTGTGCCATCCACCCAGCGCCAGCTGCCTTCTGTCCCCCGGTCAGTGAGTCCAATCCAGTGAGCTTCTCCCTTGGTCTCCTTGGAGAGAAACTCCTGCACAACACAGTTTGCAGCATGTCCAGGTCACCCAAGAGAGGCTGCAGGATGGAGCCGCAGCTGTCTGGGTTGAACAGATTTGGGGGGAGAGGAAAGGGCGTCTGGTGGTGTGAGCTGGGCACTGGGCAGTGGGATACACGGTGTCCTGCCCCCAACGCTGACTGTGACTAGCTGGGAGACCCTGAGGGAGTCCTGGAGCATCTCTGTGTCTGTGTCTGCATCTGCATCTGCCTGGGGCTACCAGCAGCGACCTGTCTCAGAACACTCCCCCCACAGCCCCTCAGAGCTGGGCTGCGGCCGTGACTGACGGGCACCTCAGAGTTCACACCAGCG